CGGCCAGTGCGCCGAGAACCACAGCCAGTGCAACGGCCAGAACTGGCCGTTCGGCGTGTGCTGCAAGGACGCGAACTTTGAGTGCAACAAGAAGAACGACTACCTGTCGCTCTGCGAGCCCAAGAAGAAGCAGGAGATGGCTGCGGAAGCCGCCATGATCGAGGCGTGGCAGCAATGCGGCGGCAAGGACTGGGTCAACCCCGGGTACCCGCGCTGCTACACGGGTCTCCGCTGCGTGTTTATCAACGACTGGTACTCGCAGTGCCAGCCGGGCGAGCAGCCCAACACGCTCGACAAGTACGCGCAGTGCGGCGGCAAGGGCTTTGACGCCAAGGGCAAGTCGTGCCGTATGGAAGACGAGTGCAAGGCCATCAACGAGTACTACTCGCAGTGCCAGACCCGCATGGGCATGATGGACGGCCAAGCGGGTGTCGTCGCTGTCTGGCAGCAGTGCGGCGGCAACGGCTACAAGGGCGATACGTCGTGCACGACCGGCAACGAATGCGTCAAGATCAACGACTGGTACTCGCAGTGCAAGCCGGCGGCGACGGCGGCCGATCGGTTCGCGACGTGGGCCCAGTGCGGCGGCCGCAACAACAACTTCCAGGCCAACGGCAAGAAGTGCCGCGACGAGGACAAGTGCGAAAAGTACAACGACTTCTTCTCGCAGTGCATCCCCAAGTAGATTGACGACCTTTGCTCGGATCCGTTTTGGTTTAATCTATAAGATCTAGATGTTCTTTTATCACTATCGTCAAGATGGACGAGGGACAAGCCTGACATTCTACGTTTTCGATCGATGGCCCACAAGGCCTGTTGGCATGTGGGCATTGGTGTCGGGGAACACCGAGTTGCCACGAGGCTGGTCGCCCAACATGCAAATTGCTGCTGCTAGCGGAAAGTGGCTATAGCACATTTTGTGGCTGAATCAGCCTTGTGGCGAGGTGGTCACGGGGTGCTTCTCCTGACGTGGCATCCTACCATGCCACGACGCTACTTCAACCTGATTGGATCTTTTAAAATGATTTTTAAAAGTTGAATTATTTTGAAGAAAGCAAAAAAGAGCTGCCATTTTGGATTCTCATTCCACCGCACACGCTGACTCGCTGCAAAGCTTGGTCGAGGAAGCTTTCTAGATGACCCCGTCGCCAACTGCGCCTGGCTGGGAGCCACGAGGCGGTTGAGAGGGTGGCATGATAAGCCCACGGGATCGGACCGGCCATCGACGGCCATCCCGTCCCATTACCTTTGTGCTATGGTCGCACACGTCCCGATGCGCAGCCATTCGGTGGTCGGTATGCATCAGGTGCCCCGAATCTCTGCAAATCTCGGCAGGATCGTTGGGCAAACTGAAGTCGACGCCTCTGATTGGTTGGCGACTGCGTTGGATTGTAACCAAGGTGACCCACATACGGTCTTGAAGCGCCGATTTGTAGGGAGTAGACCGTTGCCTATCAGAGGCCGCGGCCTGCTTCAACATGCCGTCGGAGAAGATACATTTCAACAGATGAGGCCCCATGCTCTCGTACAAGTGTGCACCAAGGGCCACAACAACGAGGAATACAATGCGGCGGTGCTACCTCGAGTGGTAAGCCATGTCCAGAGCTCCGATACGAGCCGCTGCGGGCAGCGACAAGCCAACTGGATGTGAGGGAATTGCCCCTTGAAAATTGCTTGGTCCAAGCGAAGTTCGAAGATGTGGAGGAGCTGAACGCACGCAACGCCTCCTCGCTGCCCAGCCCCTGCGACCAAGCAAGATGGCCGAAACCACGCGTGTGCACGGCGGGGCATGTGCATCATGGGGATCCTTTGCATGAGGTTATTGTAGCCGTGGCCACAAAGCAGCCATGCGTATGACATGGAAAAACATGAAGCGCAGCCGACGACACTGGGTTTGCGTGGCTGCCACTGGCAGATGGTGGGCCCTTGCGCGGATCGCCGCTGATTGAATGTGCATCCTACAGTACCGGTATTTCAATGTACTGTACATGGTACGGCGATACAATATTACAGTATAGTGCACAGCACCGAGGGTAGCTCTGACCGAACGTCGTGCTATGGAGCATGCATGTAGGTTGCGTGTGGTAAGCCTCTCTTCGAACTTCGATCCCGGCCTTTCCAGCCGCCTGGCGCCACCGGGTTCGACGCGCTGCCAGATGATAGCCAGCTGCGCACTGCGACCCAAGATCACTTCCCATTTTGCCTCGGCCCCATGAAGACTGCCTTCCTCCTCCTCACGCTCTCGGCGGCCGCCACCGCCACGTCGCAGCAGCAGTTCAAGGTCTGCAAGACGCACGAGGACTGCAACCAAGGCTTCTTCTGCCGCCCCACGGACGACAAGGCGTTCTCCATGTGCCAGCCCGGTGACCGCCCGGCTTCGGGGTCGACGACCGCGCCCAAGCCCACTGACGACCCCGCCGCCGGCAAGGGCAAGCAGTTCGATCCCTGCACGAGCAACGCGAGCTGCGGCAAGGGCCTCTTCTGCAAGCAGACCGACAAGCCGCTCGACGGCAAGTACTTCTCCATGTGCCAGCCCAACGAAGGCTGCGCCAAGCTCTACGGCCAGTGCGGTGGCAAGGGCTTCTCCGGCCCGAGCTGCTGCGGCAACAACAACGCGTGCAAGCACCAGGACGAGTGGTACGCGCAGTGCGTGCCGGCGAGCCATGCGATGGCGTCGGAGGCTTCGTGCACCAACGTCAGCGTCGAGGGCGATGCCACGTACTGCATTGAGGGTGCGATCTGCGGCGGCGCCGGCGACAAGTGCCCGAAGAAGGGCGATGTGGCGGTTGCTGACTGCATCAAGACG